TATAAATACTCTATGTATAAATGCACTAGATTCGAGGATGCTCTCCAATTCTGCAGTATTATTCTTCCTACTCTTTTTGTGATGATGGGAGAGATTTGTCTAAACCTCTTGGTTATTGGGGAAAAAAAGACCATCTTTTTTTATTCTATTCACTTACAAGTGATTTTATTTTTTTTATTCTTTTCCAGAGCACAGTTTTGTTTTTGTTTGTTTGTTTTTAATGATGCTGAGTATTAAACCGAGGGCCTTGTGCATGCAAGGCAACCACGCTACCAACTGAGCTATGTCCCCAGCCCATAAAGACCATCTTTAAGCTGAATTACATCTGCAAGTTTTCTTAACCATCAGTCTTACTTACATATGTTTTTTTTCCTGGATCATACCATCTCGTGCCTTTCCCTCTGGCTGAGAAGATAGGATGGAAACACTTGCCAAATTTGTGGCAAGGGAGAAAAAAAAATTATTAAGGGTTGAATCACCAGTTTTTTCCCTGCTAGAATTTAGCACACGGTAAACATAAATATTTCTATATTTGTTGAATATTCCATTGTTATGTTTAGTTCCCATACATTTCTATTTTTAAAAACACTATTCATTTTCTCTGAGAGATTTTTTTGGCCATTGATCTCTCTTCTCAGAGCTTGAGACTCAAATTTCTGTTCGTTTACTAGACTTAACCTGCTGTTACAAAACTTTCAATGAGTCACACCTATGTGACCTCCTGGTCTAGCCCCAAATCTGCTCTTCCCTTTTGTTCTCTCCCTCCATTTTGGGGCGTCACCAACACTCAATTTGCTCAGGTAAATAATTCAGGGTCCCAGGTGTTCTGGGTATTCTGTGGACCTGGGTATCCCACAGAACATAGTAGTGTGGGCCGTGAGGCTGCAGAGTTGGTGGAAAGACCATCTAGGTGGTGTTATGGGAGAGGGAAACTGTAATATGCCACCTGGAGCCTGACTGGACTATTTCTGAGACCCTTTGGGGACTTTTAGAAATACTTAAGAAGATTTTACAGAGGCCTGGGATCCTGTAACAGCAGATTTGGTAAGGTTAAATAAATTTAGGCTATTATTGGCACTGTGGCACTATTTAGAACTCCTCTAAGATTCTGTGTAGGAAACTCAGGTGTCCTAAATAATTTTCTAGCCGTTTTTTTCCCACTTAGAATTTTTTACAAGTAGTTCTGCATGTCAAAGTATGACTCTCAAGACATTTTGAAAACAAACTCCACAGCAATGATTAAGTCTTATTTTATTAAGTATGCCATGGGCTTCACAAGGGTATCTCATGTCTCATAACGATTCTGTAAAGGGGAGTGTTACATAGTCCTTTTGCAGATAAGAAAAAATTAGGTTCAGAGAGGTGAACTAACTTGCCTGATCTTCCCTAGCTAGTGAGTAGTGCAATCACTATCTCACTCTGAATTCCATACTTTCTCCAGTAGTCTCATTTCAGTGCCCATAGTATTCTAATATTCTATGGAGTGGAGGTACCATAGTTTATTGGCTTTTATGCACCATAAATTATTTAATAGTCCTTCTGTAGTTGGGACATTTAGGTCAGATGAATAATAATAATAATAATAATAATAATAATAATAATAATAATAATCTGCTATTATATATAACAATGAGGTGAATAGTGGTCCACATTGGTGCCCACTACAGGGTGGTAAGCACACAGATTTATGTAGAAAGGTCCAGCTCCCCTGTGGATTTGTGAGCTTCCTGGGGGTGGAGATGTAAGGTGATTGGCAGGAGGCTTTAGTTAAAATGGAGATGTCCAGTTCCCATAAGAGACCTTTAGAGTTAGACTATTTGAGCTTAAAACCTGGAAATTGCATTTTTGCCAAGCTACCCAGGTGATTTTTATAAACTGGACATTGGAGAAATAGGACTCTAGGCTTCTGAGCAGTGATGACATAAATTCAATAGCAGTTACCTAGTATTCCCAGAAGGACATTCATAAGTACCCTTTCCTGAAGAGTCTCACCACCTTCTTTGTGGAGAAGGACAGGTGCAAGGAAAATAGAGAAAGGAACTCCTACTGGTCTTTCTAGCTGGGTGAATTTCTGTCCTATTCCAGATAGCATTAAAGGGACATAGATTCTGGTATAATTTTAATCATATTTTTTTATTTATTTTTAATAGATAATTGGTGTAGCATGATACAAAATTTAAAAAGTACAAAAAGTTATACAATAAAAAGCAAGTCTTTTCCCCATGTCTATACCTTAGTTCTCCAGTTTTTGCCACCTCCAGAGGTAGCCACTATTTTTTTTCTGAATTTTAAATAAAGTGGTTTAATTTCTGAAAGTGATATACATAAGCTGTCAGTTTGGGAAGGGCTGGGACCAGGGTTAAAAAAAAAAAAACTTCTAAATTTGAGATAGATTCACAAAAATTTGAAAAAAAATAGTACAAAACAGTTCTATGGAACTTTCATCTAGTTTTTTTCAATGAATATATATGTTTTATAGTAATAATGCACAGTAAAACAAGAAAATTGACATTGGTATTTTGCATATATATTTCCAGACTGCTTTATAATATATAGATTCTTGCAAGCAACTCTACAATCAAGATACTTCATAACAATTCCATCAGCACTCCACATGCATAACTTATCACGGAATACTAGGGACATAATTTTATCAGTTCAAGTCACATGTAGAAACCTTATTTTAAATTCCGTTACCCATTCCCATATATAATACAATTGTATTAATATCTCTTCTATGTATTTTGAGAATGACATCAGTCAACATTGTGATTTTTTGTCCCATCTACCAAATATAATTTAGAAAACTCAAGAGGAGAAAGGAAGGCCTTTCTATTCATATTTTTACTGTCTTTATTGGTCATCCTTTCCTCCTGATGTTCTAAGTTTCCTTCTTTTTATCATTTCTTCATTTAGAAAAGTTCTGTATTCATTCCTTTATAGTAGGTCCACTGGCTTCAAATCCTCTGAGATTTTTTTTTCTCTGAGAATGTCTTCTCTTCATCCCCAAAGGATATTTTTGTTGGACATGGGAGTCTGGGTTGATGGTAGATTTCTTCAGTGCTTGAAAAATGTTCTTTTCTTCTTTTGAGTCTTTGTGACCTCTGATGAGAACTCCTTTGTGGAAACTGTCATATGTCTCTTGCTACTTTCAGAGATTTTTCTTTTAGTTTCCAGAAGATTGATTGTGATGCTTTTGGGCTTGGATTTCTTTCAGATGATCTATTTGGGGTTTATTTAGCTGCTTCACTGTGTAAGTTCATGTCTTCTGCTAACTTTGGGAAATTTTCAGCCTTTATTGCTTAAAATTCCTATTTAGTTTTACATTTTCCCCTTTTCCTTCTTATGCTCCAATACAATGAAAGTAACAAGGATGTTAAATCTTTTGTTATTGTCTCAGGGATCTCTGAGGCTCTGTTGTTATTTTTTTTCAGTTGTATTTTCTCTCCATTGTTCAGATTGGGTGATTTCTATTGCTTTACCTTCAAATTCACTGATTCTTTTCTCTGTCCTCTTTAACCTGCTGTTGAAGGTTGAAGCTCATCCAGTGACTTAAAAAACTTTGTTTATTGTATTGGATATATTAGGCCAAAAGAAAAAGGATGCCTGTGGAATTGGTATCTGTGTTCTGCCCTGGGTCCCAAGATCTCTAGCCAGCCTGCTTTCTTCTTTCCACCTTCCAGAGTCTTCCTGTTTTTTTCTTAATAGATAATATCTAGAATTTTTAGTTGCCTTTAGTGGAAATGTCTAAACACCAATGCATCCTCTCCACATCCTCCCAGGAATGGAAGAGATCATGCATTTATATTGGTTTAGACTCAAATCTGCAGGTGGGAGCCAGGGAAAGATTATTAATGAAAACAAAGTAATTGATTGCTTTTAATTTTTCTTTAAAAGTTTTTAAATTTAAAAGAAATTTTTAAAAATTTTTCCTAAATCCATACTTCTTAACTTCACATGCCTGCTTCAATTATGTCTGTAGATGCTGAGTTTGGGGTCCTAGTAAGTAGATCCAGGAGCTAGGACAGGGTGGCAGATGTGATTATGAAGGGGCCAGACCCAACACTGAGAACTTTAAACTTCTGGCTTTAGGGAAAAAAAAGTTGGTTAATACACAATGATTATAATTAGATGATTTTTGTCCAAAACATACAGGAGGTGTGGGGTAGAATAGTAAAGAAGTTACTAGAATGTGCACCCTACTGAGGCAGGGTAGAATTCCAGAGTGCAGAGCTGGGTAGAGGACAAACAGAGGATAGAGACTCGTGAAGTGGGGTCTTCCCTGAGGCCCACCCCTAAGGGCTGCCTCCAGCTCACCTCTACCTGCTGCCAGGCAGGAGGCTCCAGCAACCAGCAGGGAAGTGTCTCTAGTTAGTTGAAGGTGTATTTGCTGCCTGTCTACTATGTTCACAAGCCTGTAGAAAAACCCCTGAGATTTTTTGCTCTCAACTGCAAATTGGTGTAGCCAATATGGAAAGCGTTATGGAGATTCCTTGGAAATCTGGGAATGGAACCACCAATTGACCCAGCTATCCCTCTCCTTGGTCTATACCCAAAGGACTTAAAAATCAGCATACTACAGGGACACAGCCACATCAATGTTTATAGCAGCACAATTCACAATAGCTAAACTGTGGAGCCAACCTAGATGCCCTTCAGTGGATGAATGGATAAAAAAAACATGGCATATATACACAATGGGATATTACTCAGCAGTAAAAGACAATAAAATCATAGCATTTGCAGATAAATGGATGGCATTGGAGAAGATAATGCTAAGTGAAGTTAGCCAATCCCCCCCCCGAAAAAAAAACCAAACAAATGCCAAATGTTTTCTCTGATATAAGGAGGCTGATTCATAGTGGGGTAGGGAAGAGGAACATGGGAGGAATAGAGGAACTCTAGATAGGACAGAGGCATGGGAGGGAAAGGGAGGAAGCAGGGGGTTAGCAAGGATGGTGGAATGTGATAGACATCATTATCCAAAGTACATGTATGAAGACACGAATTGGTGTCAACATACTTTATATACAACCAGAGATATGAAAAATTGTGCTGTATATGTGTAATAATAATTGTAATGCATTCTGCTGTCATTTATTTAAAAAAAATAAAAATTTTATCCCACAATAAATTCTACATCTTGAAAAATAAAATAAAAATATGAATGCAAAGAGAAAAAAAACCCAACAACAGTATACAGTCCAACTTCCCACTTTGCAGATTCCTTTTGCATCCTATTTATCCCCTTTGATACCCACAGGACCAGACCTTAAAGATTCCAGCAAAGAACTTCCCAGGTCACTTTGCTAAGGAGAGAGAACATTAAAACCAAACACAGACAGATAAAGATTAGCCTCTCACCCCAGCAGCCTGAGCTTGTGCCAGGAAAGTGCAATCACCTCACTTCTGAAGCAGATAAAGGTGTGCCTAGGTCACCTACCAGTCACTGGGCAACTGCTGTGACACACTCCTCACACCTGACACTGCTCAGGGGAAAGCCAGGCAGCTTGTGACAGTTTTCCCAGTCAGAGAAAATCTGGCTCAGCAGGCAGGTTGCCATTCGTGCAGTCACCAGAGACAAAGCTTGGCGCATTAGGATCCTTAGCTCCACTGGGCAGTGACTGCTCAGCCCTGCAGGGAGTGGAAGAGCCACAGGCACAAGATGATCCTCAGGAGAAACTTCCCCAAAGGCTTCTGCATTGGGCTGATTCTGGTCATTGCTGTCAACATCCTTCTGGTATTTTATACCAAGGAGACTTTACATAACTTGATTCTGGGGCGTCTACACAAGGAGTTTCATTTGCCCCCACCAGAGTGGGACGGAGCCATGATCAAGAGACTCTCTCGCTTGGAAATGGATCTGCAGCGTCTGAGTAAGTTTAGCATGCTAATTTGGAGGGGATGTGTGTGTGAGTGTGTGTGTGTGTGTGTGTGTGTGTGGTGCATGCAAGTATGTGTGGGTGTGAGCATGCATGTGAGTGTATACTTAGGGACACTTAGTAAAAAATAGGGTGTGGAGGAAAATGGGTGAGAAGCCACATTCTCATCTCTCATTTGCCCTTTCAGGCATCAGAGTCTGATGGGATGCATTGAGAAATAGGTGGTAGGAGTGGGAGTTTAGAGAAGATGATTTGAGGGAGGAGAGCAGAGTGTGTATGGAAGTGGGGTGTGTGTATATATTTGTGCATATGCATGATCACATCTGCATACATGCAGGCAGGGAGACTGAAGCTCAGAATAAGGACCCCAAGAGACTCAGAAATCTAGGAATCTAGGCTCAGGAATCAGCCCTATCTTTAGGCCTATGTGTGACAGGGTTGTTAATGAGAGGTGGCTGTGTCTAAGGTAAAGGGTGCTTCCAATTTCCTGGGAGCTCCTATCATGAATGCATGGAGGCATTGTTAGAGGGCCGAAGGCCAAATCTTGATATGGCTGCTATGGCGGTGTAACTTTGAGTAAGTGCTTATCTCTCTCAGCCTCAGACTTTGAATCTGTAAATGAAGACAATGATAATGAAAATGATAATGATAGAGAGCTGCCTGACTTCACAGGGTTGGGAACATGCAGAAAGTGATATATGTCCAGTTTTAACCTCTTCATTTAACGTTCTGGGTAGGATTCCAACACATCCTGGGCTTGGTTTGTAAGACTGGCTAACTCCTTTGAATTATATGTACCTGTGCATCTGACTTCAGTGAGAGAAGTGACAATTTTCCCTGCTCCCCAGGTAACAGAGATCAAGGGCTTGAACCCTTAAGGGAGGCGTTGAATGTGTGAGCAGGGATGCACTTGGTGTTGGAGCTGGTCAAGGTCTTTTTAAATGGGAAATGAATATTACCAAGGCTCAGGCACAGGGACAGAAGGAGGAAAGACAGGAAGAAAAAAAGAAAGGGAGGGAATAAATCAGGGAAAGTCAGAGAGAGGGAAGTGGGACAAGACAGGAGAAAAGTGATGAGGATGAAAGAGAAGGAAAAAAAAAGTGGGAATTAGGGAGAGAGGTTGAGAACTTGTGGAGACAAGAGGAAAGAAGGGAAAGTGAGAAGAGGTGGGGGAGAGGATAAAAGAAGGTGGGGCACGAAACACCCACAGCATCCTCCACACCCTGTTTACACTCAGTACATTTTGCTGTGATGCAATTTTCTGGAAAGCAGGTCCCGTGGGGGGTCATTCCATGGATGTAGCTGTGCATTCCCCATTCATTTCTATTCACACATGGAAATTACCTCAATGAATAAGTGAACAAGTGAGTGTAAGCAGGAGAGAGAAAAGTACAGGTGAACAGGGATGAAGGGAAGTGTGAGACGGGCTAGAGTGTGGGTGAAACAGAGGGAAGACTGTTGGCTCGGAAGCCCTGGCTTCCCCAGTTGGGTGGAACACTGCACGTGCCAATCTATGCAGCAGGCTTCACTAGGAGCTTGTAGACCCAGGCTGGTGACCCCGGAGCCACTGCCACTCCTTGTAGGAGAACCTAGACCACACCAGGACTCTCCCATGTGACCCTTAGTTCCTTCTACTGCAGTCGCCCCCTTCCCCTGAACCTTAGCATGGCAGGAGTCTTTACTCAGCAGAGATATGACATGCCCTGAGGAGCCATCCAGAGCCACCAACTTACTTTCTTTTATTTGTTTGCAATGACCACTTCTATCTTTCTATCTCATCTTGTTGATGTCATGATTTTTTTCAGTCTAAAGTGACCGTAGTGTCAGAGACCCTTCCCAGCAGAGCTGAACCTTCCAGTGTCTTCTGGGACCTGTTTCCAGATCACAAATGCTCTTCTGTCCCACAGTTCATCCTTTAATGGAAAATCTTTAAGAAGTGAGGCCCAGTTGGAAGCTTCCAGTCATGTGGGGCTGTGCCCTCAAGTGAGGTACTGAGACCCTGACCCCTCCCCACTCCCTCTCTCTGTTCACTTACCAGCTGCCATGATCTGAGTAGCTCCCTCCACTGTACCCTCCCCTGTCTCACCATAGGCCCCAAAGCAACAGGCCAAGTAACCATGGACTGAAATCTCCAAAACTGTGAGCTAAAATGAAACTTTTCTCTTTATAAACTAATTATCTAATAATCTCTATCAATTAATTCTTTTCTCTTTATAAACTAATTATTTGTCACAGGAATGGCAAGTTAACACATGCTCCAGATTTTAAATTTACAGCTCTTGCCTAACATCCTTGTTGCTCACTGCCTTCAGGGCTCTGGAAAGATTGAAGAAAACCATAAGTCAATAGGAACATTTAGGTAAATCTTCAATTAGGTAAGTCATCAAGAGTAAAAGCAAACACATGATGATACTCATATCCCTGTTGGCAGAGGGACAAGTGACTCTAAACCAGTTTGTTGGACCCTTTCTTGGGGCTCTTAAAAGCCACACCAGAGCAATATCATTGGGTGTGTCTTCTTTGTGCCGTAAACATTTTCATGTCAATCATGGGAATGGTCTAGTGGCACTATATTCATCTTGCCGGAATGTCTGCAATTTTCAAATTGACTCTAGACTTTCAGTTCCCACTGACAGTAGTGAATGAAAGAAAAAAAAAATCAGGTGTCACCCCAAAGAGGAAAGAAGGGGAGTTTTGTTTGAGGCAAGGAGAACTCAGTACCACCCTGTGACCCCTATGTGCTTAACACAGAAATGTATGAATAATAATACTACTCAATTGGAACACTTGAAACATTATGCTTTTATTTCCCACCTGAGAAAATATTCATAGTATTTCCACAGCTCTTCTTTGGCAGACCTTGCCATTTAGATCTCTTCCCAAGTTTGCTTCAACCATTCTCTTTTTGCCTTGGGCACTTTAATTGATTCTTCTCCTTTTCCTTTCTCCAGGGCCAAACTTCTGTCATCTTCTTAACATTTTCTTCCCAGTTTTGGACTTCCCTGTTTTCCCTTGGAAGGGCTATAGATGGATCTGAAATACAGCCCAAATCCTGTCACTAAGCCTTGTTCTGTGGCATGGGATTGCGTTTACCCAGAAAAATTTCACACAGTGGAACCATCCTGGTGACACTGGGTAGCAATTATTCAGGAAAAGAGAACATTTTCTTCTAATATTCAGAAAGATGCTGGATGGGCTGAAGTTAATCCCTCAGTCTGGTTGAAATTTAATGGGGGGTTTAGGGGAGGATTAGTGGGAGCTAAGTGGTCCTATAGCCAAGACCTTTGGTTACTTGATGTTTAATGCCCAGGAGTGTCACAATCACTAAGCACTGGACTCATTACTTTTGCACTCTTTTTCTGCTGCATTTGTAGATTGAGCTCAAGGTACATATATGTTCAGACTCTCCAGCACAAATCTTATAGGGTTGTTATAAAGGTGAGATAAATGATGGATGGGAAAGAGCTTTGAAGTTTGTAGGCCATTTTCCAAACACAAAGCATCATTTTTACTATTGGTACTATAGATCCTGAAGGACCTCTTCTGTATGAGAAGTCCTCTGCCTGGGTCTGTCACTCTGTTCTTTTGAATTAAGTCTGTGTTCCTCAAATGAATATGAACATTAGCGCTATCTGGAGTAAGCATCTTCAGGGAAGTCCTGGGATTCTGTATTTTTTAACAAGCTGTTGAAGTCTTTCCTGTGGCCAACCACATTGGACATTTCCTGCCTAAAAGTTCTTGGTGAATCAAATGAGAAGGGAAAGGGGAGGTGGACGATGGTGGTGCTGGTTAGAGTAGATTTGCCTTTGTCAGCTACTAGAAGTGCAGTATAATGTGACTCCACATTTCACTGTACAGAGGAATTACTTCTTGATTTTGTTAAAATGCAAACTCTGGTAACTTCCCCTGGCCCCAAGATTCCGATTTAGTAGATTTGAACACAGGCTTGGATATCTACTTTTTTTTTAAATTTTTATTGTTGGTTGTTCAAAACATTACATAGTTCTTGATATATCATATTTCACACTTTGATGATATCTACTTTTAAAAATAATCACAGTTGATGATTCTGATGTAAATGTTTCTTAGGCTTAATTCTGATAATACATTATTTGATTATCTATTTATTTCTCAGGTCAATGGCAGCAATTCGAGTAGCCTTAAATGGACAGACAAGTTTTGTTGAAGCTGCAGAGAGAGATGGACCTAGCATGTGCTTTGCCAGGACAGCCTTGCACGGCTCTGACAAGTTCACTTGACCCATCACATTCTCTGGGACAAGAGCCATAAATTAAAAATCTGCAGAGTGTGTTAGTTTGCCATTCCTGTGAGAGAAGAAGAGAGAGAGAGACGGGGGTGGGGTGGGGTGGGAGTGTCAGGGTCTCAGTATCCCCCTTGAAGGCACAGCCCCACATGACTGGAAGCTTCCAACTGGGCTTCACTTCTTAAAGGCTCCACCAAGCCGCTACACACAGGTTGTTTGGCTTATTTAGGATCCAAATTTATAGCAAAGAGAAAACCGTTTTACATAAATTAGGAAGGAAAGCAATGCCCAGATCTAGTAAACTGTTTTATCTGCACTCTCCTACCCCGTCCTCTTCATCTGCAGAAGATGGTATGCAACTGGTTATGAAGCAACAAGAAAACAAGGACCACACACAAAAGAGGATAGAAGATGAAGTTCACCCTGCTCGAAAGGCAGTGGAAACCCCTGAGAGGGAGACAAAGAAGCAGCAGAACAGACCCCCAAAGAAACTCTTCCCGAACTCTCCGCTCTTCAAGCAGTGGGGCGACAAGCTTTCTGAAGCCCAGCAGAAAGAGGCAGAGGACCTGTTCCAGAAGTTTGGTTACAACGCCTACCTCAGCAACCAGTTGCCTCACAATCGCAGCCTCATGGACACACGAGATTCCAGGTGGGACGGACGAGGGTTGGTGGGAGGTTCTAGGGACCTCGGTCTGATTTGGGTCTGAGTTTTGGAAGCCATAAAAGTCTAGGGTTGGAAAGAGGGTGGGGGAGTGAGGGATTGCTGGAGAAGGGGATAAGGAGAGTTCTTGTTTTTAATCCCTTTTGCAACAGCAGCTTGGTGAACACTGGAGATAAACAGAGGTATCAAAGAAATGGTGATCCTTGGGAATTCTGATACAATGGGTCTAACCAATGATTTTACAGATGAGGATGCCAGGGCTGAGCAAAGACTTGTGCATGTCACCCCAAAGTTAGCAGCTCTATTTCCTCCTTTCGTACTTTCCTCCAATTCTCTGCTTGAATTCTTTGTTTTTAAATATAATTTTTAGAGACTTTCTGTTTTTATTCCTCATTGTTTTTTTCTTTTCTGCCTTGCCCATCTTTCTTCATAATTTTTTTTAAAAAGTAACATCTTTGTTGAGGCACAATTCATATACCATCCAATTCACCCATTTGAAGTATGCAATTTAAGTGATTTTAGTATATTCAGAGTTGTGCACCATCCCCACAATCAATTTTAAATCTTTTTCTTCACTAAAAAAAGAAACCCCATATCAGTGTCAGCCACTTTCCATTTCTCCACAACTTCTTACTCCCCTGGAGAGCATTAAAGTACTTTCTGTCTCTATGAATTTGCCTATTCTGGATCTTTCTCGTAAATGGGATCATATAACATAGGGTCTTTTGTGACTGTTTTTTAAAAAAACTATCATCATATTTTCAAGTGTTACAGCATGTATTGATACTTCATTCCTTTTTTAAATAGAACTAACAAAAATTGTATATTTTTATTGGTTCTGTTTAAATATCAATGACAACAGAATCCATTTTGATATAATTATACAAGCATGGAATATATCTTATTCTAGTTAGGATCCCATTCTCATGATACATGATGATGGGATTCACTGTATTGTTTTCATATACATACAAAAAATTATGGGAAATTGTTAGACCAGGACGCAAGAAAAGACCACTGACTCCAATTAAAATCAAATTAGAGCAAGCTTATTATTTTGACCTGCCCGTTGCCTCTCCCTCCCAAAACCTCGGGAACAAGACAGCACCCCAGCTTTCCTGCAGCCCATCTTTATAGCCCAGAAAGTTACACAAAGGGGGGTTACAGATAACAGAACTCTGACAAGCATCACACTAATGGTAGTTTACATTTTTTGCTGGCCCCAACATCAGAATTTATGAGGACCATTAGAGCCTCAGAGAGGGTCGTTGTCTGGCCAGGGAAAGCCAAGATTTGTGAGGCGTCACTAAAGTTTCAGAGAGGGCTGCTATCTGGTCAGAGAGCCAGGCATGGGTGAGTTCAAGGCATGGGCAGGCATTCCAAGCAGGTTCAGAATTTGCAGTAATTTATAGTAAAGCCGAAATTATCTTTTCATGGCTTTGTGGCAAGATGGCTCCCAATTTTAAGAACAGGTTGAGTCTATCAGAAATTACATGAGATTCATTCTACTGCCTTTCCCTCTTGTATCCCCCCACCTTTTCCTCCATTCTCCACTGTCTAATCTACTGAACTTCTATCTCCCCCTCACCTCCCCGCTATTGTGGATTAGCTTCCACATATCAAACAAAACATTTAACCTTTGTTTTTTGGGGGGATCAGTTATTTCACTTAGCATGATAGTCTCCAGATCCATCCATTTGCTGGCAAATATCATAAAGTCATTCTTTTTTATGGCTGATTAATACTCTATTAATATTTCAACATTTTCTTTACCCATTCATCTGTTGAAGGGCAACTAGGTTGGATATTTTATATTTTAACTATGACTTTGAAATATAATTTATTAATATGTTAAGTAAAACTATATACATTATATTAACTTTACTATCTTGATTAACTAGAATAACTTCTTGTGGTTGTACATGATGTGAAGTTACACTAATGGTGTCTTCATATATGAACATAGCAAAGCTATATCTGATTAATTCTACTATTTTTCCTATTCCCATTTCCCCTCCCTTCCGTCTATTCCCCCCTGTCCAACCGGTAAACCTCCACTCCTCCCTTTGCCCAGCTTATTGTGAGTCAGCATCTACATAATCAGAGAGAACACTGACCTTTGGTTTTTTGGGGATTGGCTTATTTCACTTAACATGATATTGTAGAATGAGGTTACTTTGTCTGAAGTACCATATTTTATTTATTCATCAGTTGATACACATTGTATTGTTTCTACTTTGGACTATTATGAATAGTGTTGCTATGAAGACAGCAAGTGTTTGTATTGACCAATAACTTTGTGTTTCTTGGGTACAGTCTAAAAGTTGAATTCGTGGGTCATATGATAACCACATTAAACTGTCGGACTATTTTCCAAAGTGACTGCATGATTTTATATTCCAACCATCCATTTATAAGAGTCTTGATTTTTCCACATTATCACCCACATTTGTTATTATTTGTGTCTCTTTTTCTCTCTCTCTCTCTCTCTTTTTTAGTATCAGGGATTGAACTCAGGGGCACTGGACAACAGAACCACATCCCCAGCCCTGTTTTGTATTTTATTTAGAGACAGGGTCTCATTGAGTTGCTTAGTGCCTTGCTTTTGCTGAGACTGGCTTTGAACTCATGATCCTTCTGCCTCAGCCTCCTGAGCCGCTGAAATTATAGGCATGTGCTACCACATCTGGCATTATTTGTGTTAAATTTTAGTTAGTCATTCTGATGAGTGTGAAGTGATATCACATTGTGATTTTGTTTTCAATCTTGAAGGCCTAATGATGATGGACATCTTTTCATGTGTTTATTTACCATTTGTATGTTTTCCTTGGAGAAATTCAGAGATGCCTCCTTTTCAAAATTGGTTTATATGTCATTATTCATAATATATCCTAGATATAAATTCCTATTAGAAACACGCAAATATTTTCTCCTAGTATATGGGTTGTCTATTCACCGTCCTGGTGGTCTTCTTTGAGGCACAAATGTTTTAAATTTTGATGATGTCCAATTTATCCATTTTCTCTTTGGTTGCTTGTATTTTCGGTGTCATATATAAGAGACTATTGCTGAAGGCAAGGTAACGAAGATTTATACCTATGTTTTCTTCCAAGAGTTCTGTAGTTTCAGCCTTAAAATTTGGGGGCCATATTATGTGAATTTTTATATATGGCAATGTGTATGTGGTATAGGAGTCCAACTTTATTCTTTTGGATGTGGTCTGATCATTATCCTGCTGTCCCACCACCCTCCAGTGAAGAGATAAGTTTTGCTACATGTGTTCTCTTGGTACTCTTGTTGAAATGAATTGGGCAGAATCACAAAGGTTTGTTTCTAGGTATCAATTCTCTTTGCCTCATGTTTACTTGACCCTTATGATAATGACAGACCACTGTGGTAACACTAGTTTTGTGGCAAGTTTCAAAATGTAATAAAGTGAGTTTTCAACATTTCTTATTTTTTAAGATTGTTTTGTCTATTTAGGTACATGAATTTCTATGAATTTTAGGATTCACTTATTAATTTCTGAAAAAAAAACCATCAGGATTTTGATAGGGATGGTCTTGAATCAGTAGATCAATTTATAGAATATCTTAACCAATATTCCAGTTCATGAACATGGGAAATATTTCCATTTATTTAGGTCTTTTAAAATTTCTTTCAACAATGTTTTGAGTTTTCAAAATATGAGTTTTGCATTTCTTTTGATTGTATATCACCATTTAAGAAGTGTCAGCTCCTTAGTCCATTTATTGATTGGGTTGTTTTTTTTTTTGGTGTTAAGTTTTTTGAATTCTTTATATATCCTGAAGAATAGTGCTCTATCAGATGTGCATATGGCAAAAAATTTGCTTATATGTTTATAATATCCAATCCCTTCCCCTACTGCCTTCCCCCCTTTGCTATAATTTCCACATATGAGAGAAAACATTCAACCCTTGATATTCTGAGTCTGGCTTATTTCACTTAGCATGATGTTCTTCATATCTGTTCATTTACCAGCAAATGCCAATATTTAGTTCTTTTTAAGGCTGAGTAAAACTCCATTGTGTATATATACCACATGTTCTTGATCCATTCATCTATTGAGGGGCATTTGGACTGATTCCATAATTTGTCTACTGTGAATTAGGCTTCTATAAACACTGAAGGGACTGTGTCACTAGAGTATGCTGATTTTAGTTCCTTGGGATAAATACAAATGAGTGGGATAGCTGGGTCATATGGTGGTTCCATTCTTAGTTTTTGAGGAATCTGGTAGATTGTTTTTTCAATTTCTTTTTCAATCTGTTCATTGTAAGCCTATAAAAACACAATTGATTTTTGTACAACCTCACTGAACTAATGTATTTTAATAGCTTTTTAGTGGGTTTTAAGGGCTTTTCTACATATAAAATTATGCCATCTGCAAAAAAGATAGTTGTATTTCTTCCTTTCCCACATAAAGCCTTTTATTTCATTTTCCTTCTAATTGCCTGGTTGGAACCTCTATTGTGATGCTGAACATAATTAGTGAGAAGTGATTTCCTTGTATTATTCATCATTATGGGCGGGAAAGCAATGACTATTTCACAAAAAACTGTGGGTTTTTTTATATACATGCCCACTAGAAATTTCATTCTATGCCTAGTTTGTTTAGTGTTTTCTCTCTTTTACCATAAAGGAGCATTAAATTTTATGAGACGCTTTTTATGTGTCTATCAAGATGTCCGTGAGATTTTTGTTCACTAGCTATTCATGTGGTATATTACATTAAAATTTATTGATATGGTTTTAGGATATCAAACCAATTTCAAATTCTTGGCATTAAATCCCATGTGGTCACAGTGTATAATCTTTTCTCCATGTTGCTGGATTTGGTTTGCTCCTATTTTAAAACCCTTTTTTTTTTTTTTTTTTTTGGTGTGTGTCTGTATTCATAAGATACACTGGTTTTTAGTTTTGTTTCTTCAGGATATTTTTTTATCTGATTTTGGTACCTGGATAAG